TATATCTGAAGTTAAGCTTTTATTTACCATACACTGAGATTCTTATTTATGTACTGTGATACTTAGTGCGAGGGTGGCCATGTAAGTGTGGCATGCCATGTATATGTAGGTGAGTTTCCAATTGTAGACATTCGTGCAGCTGCTTAAATTCTTATGAATCATATTAGTTGCAATTGTGCTGTGCTAGCTAATACATGCAAACGATTATTATGAGATACCTTCTTGTATATTGCTTTCGTTTCATCTCTTTCTGCCTGCTCTCGGTCTCGTGTTGAAATTCCTCATTATGTGTAGCTGGAGGTAACCAGAGGTATGTTCACATGCACTCATTATTATTCCGAGTTTTACTAGGACTTCTAGTCTATATTGGCTTCTGCTGTATTCGGAATCACAGACGCACAAGGGGCTATGCCCATCAGCTTCGAATGATATTTGCTTTGTTCTGTGGCTATGATAGAATAGGCGTAGGTGTGCATAACGGCTTTTTCATGTAAAACCGCATGGCCATGGACTTAGTACAACAAACACAAACGGTTCCATTGTAGATTGGTAGGTGTATTGAATGTTGGAAAAGATTCTTATCTGGGTTTTTTATGGGACACCTGTGAGTCTCTGGCGTGCCCTTTCTGAAACCTTCCGCACCATTTGTTGACCACGTACGTATCTGTATATCCACAGGCGGCGCAAATCACAGCCCCAAACCAATCCGTTCTAGGTGCTTAGGACCTCGGCCCTCGGAATGGCGCCTTTGCTTCCGAGCCCACCCATTGATACACATATACATATACATATACAATGTCCACACTTATGAACAGTCGTGGCTTTCAGCTGGTCATTGGAGGTGCGCTCTGTCTCATGGGACTGCTGATCGTGTTTGTGCTATTGGAGGGCGATGGAGGCGCGGCCAAACGAGCGTCACAGGAGTACTTCGAATCATCCCAGGCCTATCTGGCTACATTAGACTTCCCATCGTTTAGGTCTGGGAGTTCTGGTGCGGCAGATAGCGCCGCGGATATCGAAGCGAATGTGATGACATGCAGTGAAAGGAATGACATAGAGCACTGGGGTTGTGAGGTGCGTGATGTGGAGTGTTGTCGCTCCCACCGACACTGTTCTGAGGAGATGGAGAAGTGTTCTGTGTGGGTGTGCTGTGTGCATGCGAGTGTTGACGTATTTCAGGTACTTGCCGATAAGCAATCATATACAGAGGCCACAGGAGAGGATAGAGTTGGAACCGACACACTCATACCCACAGATAGCCCCAGCGATAGTGACCAAGCCCCGACCGGTGAGAGTGGAGAAGTGGTTGTTGAGTTCCCTTCGCAGTCAGACAATGAAAGGCAGTGGGTCCGTTACACGCCCAACCCGTACGTGCGGCTGCACTCGCCAGCCCCGCGGGCGGCCAATGTGAGCGCTACACCGAGCAAGACACCCATGATGCCTCTACCACAGTTCAGCGACCGGATGATCTCGCTGGAGGAAGTGGAGGCGATCAAGGAACGGGAGAAGAATGCACCGGAGACACTCCTGGCGAGCGATGAGAAGGAGCGCAACGCCCGACTGCCCAAGGGCTATCCACGGGTGCACGATGCGGCGTATGCGACCAAATGTGCGCAGTTCCATGGAAGTGCTCGCACGCGAGTGGAGAGCTACGGCTATCCGGTAGGTAACACCACGGACGAATGGGGAACTATTGCTGCCGAGTCTAACCATGCGATTGTTGTGTTGATGTCTGGGGATGAGTCTGCGAGAATGGGTATGGCTCTCATACAGTCGCTGCGCAATATGAACACATGTCCCGGTATTGACATGGTGGTGGCACTAGCCGGAGGAGGAGTAGGTAGCGAGGAGTGCAAGAACTCGGGTAAGCAAAACTGTGATTCAGCAACCCCCACATCACCGGGCGATATAATATCCGACAGCTATATTAAAGCCCTGCTGAAGCTTGGCGTGAGGTTCCGATTTGTGCCCAAATTCCAATCGAGGACAGCCTCCATACCCGGGGGCGATCAAAGCTTCTGGGGTATGGCGTTCAATAAACTGAACGTTTTGGGTTGGAAAGACTACGACAAGATAATGTTCCTGGACGCGGATACCCTTTTCTTCCACAATGTAGACTATCTACTGTTCTATCCGATGTACACGGGATCGATGACCATGTGTTGCAACGGACGCGATGCCATGAAACCCGGCGGTGGGCTGTGGATTGTCGAACCGTCTCAGAACCTCATCGATCTGACAAGTGTTTACGTGAACGACCACGACCGCAGCCAAGAGGACGGCTACAACATAGGACTGGAAGACTGGCACTTTGGTGATATGCATGTGCTCGCTATGATGTTCGCAAAGGCGCGGAAGCAACAGCCGTACTTAATCTGGCCTGAGAGCTATGATATGAGACAGAGCTTTAAGGCTATAGAACAACTGTGGACGGGAGAGCGGAGGAACGACACACACAATTGGAAGCCTATGGATAGTGAGCTCATGCTGGCCGGACCCTGGGATCTTACTACAATGCCAAAGAATGTGGATGAGAAGTATTGGTACCGTGCCAGTACTCATGACCGGAACTACTATGACGATGTGGCCGATAGGCTACAGCTACCAGAGGAAAGGGGCCGGACGTGGCATGCGCTCAACGAGTCGTATGATTGGATAGCCCAGCAGTGCAGTTGTGTGCCAGCGCATGATAGGGGCCCTGACTGGTTTATCAGCGTACATCTGTCATGTATGACATTCCACAAGCCGGCTCAGTTTAAAACCTTTCCCGAATTCCGGTATGCATCCAGTGGGAATGAACCCCAGATTCCAGAGTGCATGAGATACTACATGAATCTGTGGGGTGATTTATATGAGCAGGCTATGGGAGAACTGAAGAGAAATACATGGTGGCAGGAGAAGGATCCGGCCATCACATACAAACTAATATAGTAGGCGGTACACTTGGAAGAGATAGTGATGACACACCCCTAATTTAAGGGTAAAGTGATAAGCGGTCTTTATTGTAATATAGTCGAGTTGTATAGTGACGGGTTTTTGAGAGAGGGGCGGACTCGGAAGAAGTGAGACCTCCCACTGTGGCCCATTGCGAGATACACGTAGCTCAGACAGTGTTTAGAGCAGAGTTATATTATGTTCATATTAGTCCGTATATCATTTATCAAAATAGAATAGATATCCATATATACATAAATCTAACTCGTATCATCATAGTACTTATTACTGAAAACAATCAAATATAAATGCACTATGATACGGCAGAGTGATTTAACGTGAACCGAACGATGCCAAAATACACAAGCTATCATGCATGTGTATAGCTGAACAGAATGCGGAAGGCCAGTACGATCAACGTATTATACAATTGCACTTCTAAAATTTGTTCGCGAATCTGTTCTCAAATTACATATGCCGTTGTGGATTCTTCGGCAACTGGGGTTTGGCTGGCAGCTGGCGATTATTCATAAGCAGACCGCGCACAAACAACAAAACCTAGCGTCTCTAATAACCCGAACTCTTGTCACAACAAATAATCCGTTTTGATGATGCATGATAGATTTGTAGACCTTCAAGTTTTGGTCAATCTTACTTGTAGGCGTGTATTTCAACTACTTTATATATTCCTACATGCACCAACTTTGTTTTTCTTGTATGCCTAGCGAAAATTGTGTTCAATACCTCGTTTTAATACTACATACGCATCTGTGTAGATATCATTAGCCGACCTCGTAATTCCGGACCTCCGACTGAGCTATGCTGGGTTTGTATGCATCGATTTTCGCATGGTAGATGGATACGCATGAACCCCATAATTCAAACTGGCCGTACGAAGTTCGCTTGCTATGTTCATTTCTGCAAATGCCACGTATATCTTACCAATGCACAGCTACATAATAATAGAATGTTTTTTATCCGAAATGGTGAAGGATATGGTTCCAACTGCTAGGGTGGGATATGCTCGTTTAGTTGCCCGTTATGTTGAAAATGGAAGGCAGCTATACTGCTTACACAACTGAACCGTTTCTCAATTTAATAACCTCTATGGGTCATGACAAACATGCTACTATCAAACCGTTGCGAGCGAGCGAATCATTCGCTTCGTAAATATTTATTATCATCGAGAGAAAAAAAGAGGAACATACATATCTCTTATGGAAAGTGTAGTTAAAAGTTCCGCATAGGCTTACTAAAATCAGCCTTCCCCATCAATTTTAGATCGTAACCGGGGCCTTCAATACAACTCACGCGCCTGTTAATATTACATGATATTAT